TTGAGAAATATAGTAAATATATTTCTATGTATAAGTGGATATTTAATCTATAAATAATTAAATATTAAATGTAGATTAATAGGACTAAATTAATAGGATTCATCATATATCTATATATACATAAATGTATTCGCCTTGCTTATTCTATTTAAAATATATTGCTACTTATACTTCGCACGTCACTAACGTGATAGGTTGCATAGACAAGTTAATAAATTCCTCTTCTATATTCTATATTATCTCTTAAGTTCACCTAAGAAGCTGTACGGAGCATGTGAAGATGACCTTAAGACGATCTTAAATATAAAATCGGACTATGAATAGCAACCTGGGAGCTAATGCGAGATATTAACACTTTCAATATTGCTCGTGTGACGTATGCTACGAACATTTTCGTGGAAAGCATTGAAAGTGTTAAGTAATCTCGTGACTATCGATCTCAACGACGTCGAGTGCGCCGGTAACCGTTTTCTCAGCTTCGTCTCTCGCGTATTTGTGGGTAAGAAAGGTTACCCCGTACATACTTTATAGACGTGTACACATGTATATACGTGCTCGCGATGTTACGTATACTGCAACATCTCCAGGGCCATGAATTATTTCGCCGATAGATAATTTATGTGAAAGAACGTGTCTCTCTCTCGGCGTCCCGTCTCACGGCGCTGAGATATTGCCGCTGGTCGCGGGAATAATATCGTCACGTGCACGTGTATATCCGTCCGTGGATCTGTGTGGGACGAGCTGCTGGATGAAAGATTCACGAATTGGCGCGAAACCGGCGTGAAATGAATCGACATGGCAGGGCAAAATTTAGTAATAACCGTCGCCGCGGCCGTGCCGACTGGCCGACTGGCTGAGCGCCTCGAGAAAATAGTGCAACAAGTGCGGTTGCAGCAGCGACAGCTGTGACAGTGCAGCCGTGGTGGCGTGAACGCACCGCTCGTATTATATTAGAAATCCGAGCGCATTATCTCGCGGAGTTTATTTCGCCGGCTGTATTTTCTTAGCCCCGCGCGTACAATATCGCGGACGTACATGGTATAGCGCGCACGCTCTCGCTCTCACCTGTATACGTCGTTTATTCGCCGCGGATTTTCTTATCGCGCTCGGCGAGTTCGCGTTACGTGTCGCGCTAATCCCGTGCGAAATTCTACCAGCCGATATTCAACCAGCGGCGTTCCGCTCGCGGTGATCCGCACCTCGATGATGGACAGCTCAATGTGACCTCGTGCTCTTTTAGCGTACGATAAGAAAGTTAATTTCAATTAAATGATTGCAAGACTCCTTGATTAGAAAATCAAAGTTATGTAAACCAATGCACAGTATAAGAACCAAATTACAGATATGATTTGCGAATATATAGTTTTTATTAAGGGGAATGGAGGATCAGATTGTATAAAAATCATGCTTATTCTTTCATAATTTTTTATGACAAATATACTATAATAAAAATTAAGTAAAAGTTAAAAAAATTGCTATAATAGAAAAATATACTATAATAGAAATTGAGAAATGAATTGAAAATAGAAGTGGCAAAATATACTATAATAGAAATTGAGTAAAAGTTAACAAAATTGCAAATATCTTAATAAAATATTATTAAATTTTCAGTTCTTTTATAGTAAAAATATTAATATTTCAAAATTAAATATTTAAACGAGTTTGTAAATGGTTCACACGATAACGACAAGCTTACAGAAATGTTCTACCTAAAATTCAGCTTAATTGAACCACCGAGAGTCAAGATATTGCTGCAAAATGACGACCTTGAAAAGAAAAACGAAATATATTTTAACTGCATGTTAACTATACACTTATATTAAATATTTGATCAAAATTATATTTTTTTCTCTTTATATG